GAATTTCCTTTTTATTCCCAAGCTTTTACTACAGGATTAATCATGTTTGTTATGCTTGTGTTTTTAATGGTATATTCCAAAGCCTGCAATGAAAGATTGAACAAATTAAGATTTTTTCCTCTTAAAGATATTGAAAGTAACAAGACAGAAGCCCACTATTTGAAAAGTGTTAAAAAACAAAGCATTTGAATCACTAGAATCCTTGCTTGACACTGGCATTAAGCAGGATCTGTTGCGGCCTATGTTTATCTGTAAAGATGAAAAGCAGGTAAACAGTCCAGCTAAATTGTCTTGTTGATGACACACCTCTCCATCTACTAGCAGGATGAGATATTATTTGAAGTGACTTTGTAATTTTCAGGAGACAAACTGAAGGAAATCGGTATTAAATCCCTGGTGTTTGTTAAGGTGGTTTAAGGCCAGTTAGGCCTGTCACGATAATTAATTTTGTTGGACGATACATTTTCCCAGAAATTATTGCGATAAACGATAATATTGTCGGCACCATTGTAAGACCATTTTAGACCACTGACATAATGATAATATATAATAATAATTCAAGTACATCCTTTCAAACAGAACTTTTTTATTGAACATTTAACATTGCAAATGAAATGTGAAATAATATTCAAATATATAAATTATATATAATACATAAACAAATTAATTAAATGATAAAAAATCAATTAAATAGACTCAGGCTGGAAAACAGAGCTCTCTCTCTCTCTCTCTCTCTCTCTCTCTCTCTCTCTCTCTCTCTCTCTATATATATATATATATATATATATATATATATATATATATATATATATATATATATATCTATTTATTTATATATATTGTTAAAATAAATAAATACATTTGAGCATACATTGTCTCACAAGCAAAAAAAACCTCAACAGGCCATATCCAAATCTGTATCAATCAAAGATTTTGAGCAAGGGACACCAACATGTTTGCATTGTCGGGCAAATGCATCTTTGATTGTAAACTGTCGGGAAGGTGGGGGCTCTCCATCTCCAGCTGCCGTGTTTGCTCCCAGCTGGGAAAACGGAATGGGGTGGTTGTGTTTCAGGTGCAGTTTAAGGTTGGTCGTATTGCTAGCTTTTGTTGCTACCTTTTTAAAACAAATGCGACACACCGCCCGGCTCATTCAAGTCCGTATGTTCGCCTCGTTGATTTGGCTTAAATCCAAAATATTCCCACACCGGATGTGGAATTAGGTTTTGCAACCAATTCCATTTAACTTATAACTTAAATACCCAAGTTCCCATCAGCCAAAACACGTCGGTTTGCTATCCTGGCTCCAAAATGGTGGAATGAGCTCCCCATTGAAATCAGGACAGCAGATAGCTTACACATCTTCTGGCGCAGACTGAAAACTCATCTCTTTCGACTCCACTTCGAGCAATACAATTACTAACAAAGAATTGCTAACAAAGCACTTATATACTAATAAAGGACTGGCTTATCTAAAGCCAGTTGAGTAGCACTTGAAATGTTTTGGCTCTATGAAACCTGATGTACTTATATGATTCTGTTTTCTTCAAGTTTGTATCTTGTTGGTCGAATGCACTTATTGTAAGTCGCTTTGGATAAAAGCGTCAGCTAAATGCAATGTAATGTAATGTAATGTAACTTCAAATTCCCCTCGAGTAAGTCACACGTTGTCTCCTGCTCGTCTCTATATTATTCATTTAGCTGCTACGCTGTTGAACGCGGAGTGTCCTGACCTGGCTGTGTGTGAGCCCCGCCCCTCACAGCGCCAGGCCGGCAGCCACAGCGCGCCTGGCTAAAATGCCGGTCACATCCTTATGTAAACAAACACGCATGTAAACGGCAATTTATCGAGGTCAGAAAAGTTATCGAGTTCATTTTTATTTATCGTACGATAAGTCAATGAATTGCTTATCACGACAGGCCTAAGGCCAGTGACAATAACAACTGCAATTCAATTACAAAACTGCTGAATATAAATGTCTTCTGTAGCCATTGTTTTTTGTAATCACTGATCACTAACAGAGGCCTTTATCCACCAATAAGGGTTGTCAAATTAATTCTGATGGGTTTCAATGTAGTCCCTAAGATATCTGGAAATAAGGATCTGCTTTAGTAAACAACACATCTTAAAGAATATGCTTTTATAAAAATGGTCTGTTTTGTCACAACACGTGTATAGATACAGGCATCTGTAAGACGTGGTGTGAGATTACAAAGACTGTGAGATAACAATAATAATGTTGGGAGGGAGAGTGCAAAGACACTCAGCAGTGATAAGCAAACTGCAAAACAGGGAAAGAAAATAAAGGACAGAATCATCAAGATGAAGCAAAATGCCAAGAGTCCGAGTGAAGATGCTGGCAGGCTGAAATGTCCTCTTGCCATACGGCTTTGTTAATCTCACATCTATCCTTGGAAGGTGGCTGCTAAAGGTGTGTCCTTCTTCACATACGGCAGCTGTTGTCGGCTTCTATTATAACAATATATGCTGCAGGACAATGGCTTGAGACATTTTGATACTTTCATCATAAATACCCTTTTAAAGGAGTTCACATTTGTAACAGCAGCCTTTCAAGCCTAGATGTAGTGACAGTTGATTATGAAATGGAATTTTAAGGTGACAAAACAGAGGAATCAACACCAAATAAAAAGTGTTTTATAAAGTTACTCTGTTTTACAAGGATCTAATGATGAGAGCCCAAGTTCTTCCCATCAGTGGTTGAGGGCTGAGCAGGTGCATTGTGCATTAGTGTTCAGGCCTTTAGTAATTCTCAGCGGTCCCACTGGAGTGTGTTTAATTATAAACCACTGGAGGGCTTTGATTGTTGAGGTAGATAGGTTGCAAGCCACGCTACAATTCAAAGCTGTGTCTCTAATAGGTAGAAATTGCATCTTAAATTATTTGGATTTTTGGTATTTTAATACATTTTAACATAGGTCAAGTTTCAAATAGCATTAGAGCTAAATGTGCACTTTGCTGCTTAAGGGCCAGGTAAAACTTGGCTCAGGGGGTCAATGGACAAAGCAAGGCCCAATCAGACTTTCCAGATGACCTGGACTTCCCTCTTGTGTTGTTTTTATTAGCATCCATTCTCCATAGTTTGCCACTTGGTTTTCACAATTCCTCTAGGGCAGTGCTTTTTCTTAGAGAGCCTGGACTAAACCATTGTCCTCCACTCGCTTTCCTGACAGACATTTTCTTGGCATGGCGGGCAAAGAGAGCTTTGTGGTTGTTGCCAAACTGATTTCCTCTGTGGCTTTACTTCTGGTGCTGGCGCACTGCATGGCATGTTGACTACAGCTAAAGAGACAAACTTCATTGCGTCTTTTCCTATTCATTATTACAGTATTTGTCACAGACTGATGCGATTTCCTATGGCCAAACGGGTTTTGGAATGATGAGTAAAACTACTATCTTCATAAAAACATGACCAAAGCAAAAACATGTTGTACAATTGACTGAACCTTTGTCTGTGCAATAAGCTTTCGAAATTAAACTGCATAAGGCATGGTAATGGTCACAGCGGAATCGGAGTCTGGTCCTAAAATACAGCCTATTGAGAGATGTTTGATTATCTGTGGCTAAACTGAAGGTTTGTACTTTCTATTGAGCAACATTGAAAAGCTTATGTGGAAAACTGCTCTACAATAAGTTGAATGAAGTAATTACTCAATGAAACCCAGTTGTCCATACTTGAGTATAAAACATTCTGATACCAGCGAAGTTCATAAGCATGGACAAAGTCATAACATAAACTTTAACTAACTTTACATTGCAGACACATCAGCTTTATAAATAGTATATCCCACCTCAAACAGCATCAGTTATAACCAAGCCACCTTGGAGGGGGCACACAATGTTGTGTCTTTACCATGGGAGGTCAAAAACCTCCAAGCAGAGACCCAGAGCAAATATTCCCAACATGATGCATGCAAAGGGTAAAGGACTTTACAATGCCTTTGTGGTTAATAACCATAAATCAATTGTATATAGCGAGGAATTGGAATTGTGTAGAAAAACCCATAGTTGTACCATGTAACCAATCGGTATTTTCATTACTTTGCACCTAGCAGTAGGTCCGCTGTTTCCTCTTTTTTCTTCACCTTCTACAGTATACTGCATATTATTTTTGAATGATCACTCTACTCCTGATGCATTGATGCCCTTTTAACAGTCACAGGTCAAAGATCATACTCACTTACTTCACTTAAGAACCAAGCTTTTCAGAGCTCGGAAAGGTAAACATCTCCATTACAGTGCTAGTGAGAGTGGAGCTAAACAGTTCCTTTCTAAGTGGTTTCTTACATTATATTTCACAGGGTTGGATGCAGGAAACGTTATTAATGGTTGAGATGAAAACATTTATAAAAAAAAAATATACATCTCAAACATTTTGAAGCCATGAAGCACTCTAAATCAAGTTCTTGCATACAGATATCTATATGTCTGCTGAACGAGACCTTTCAATGACCTGGAAATAAAAGGAATTAAGGGAAAAGAAGCCGACTATCACCACATTTATTTGCCCGTTTCAAAGATCCACCAACAACAAGAACCCATATGTATACTATGCACAGCTATTAGTCATAGCTCTGGCTATTTTAGTCTTGAGTCAAAACGAATCTTAACGCAGCTTGGTTGAGTCACATTGAGGTGCTGAAATGTCTGTCTTTTATGACGCTCTGACTGGTACATTACACATTTCCGCCTTTCACTAAAATGTGATACTTCCCTTGGTCCATATCCTGTTCTTGCATTACAAAACCAATATAAGGAAAGCATTTTCAGGATGTGTTTGTAGTTCAAATCTCAGAACACACACAATTCTGTTTAACTGCGAAAACAGTCTGCTGAGGCCTGAGAGAATATTTACTATCGAGAGACATAACGTCTCTAATGGATAAAATAGTCTTTAGTCAGCAAGAAACACATCTTCTTTCCTCAGTGGTTTTTCAGAGCCTTTCTCCAGATCTAACTGAAGTGTCTCTTGTCCCTCTAGGTGCTACCTATTGGATGGGATCTCTAAAGGAGCCTGGCTGAACCGCTCAAGCATCATATTCGCAGGAAACGACAAGTGGTCTGTGGACCCACGTGTGTCCATTGTGTCCAGCGTTGGAGACAAACATGAGTACAGCCTTCAGATACAGAAAGTGGATGTTTCTGACGACGGCCAGTACACATGCTCCATTCAGAGTGAGCGCAACCCACGGCCAAAGCTCCTCAACCTCATTGTAAAAGGTATGTATTTGTTGTGCTGAACAGGCACTTGTCCAAGCATGAGTGTTGTTCTTTTACGTGTGTGTATATTAATTGCATAAAAGATAATTTCAATTATTTTCAACCCTATTTTCCATTATCAATTAATGTTGGATTTCAGTTTTCTCCACCTACAGTATAAGTACCATGCTCTTTGATGGGTGGGTGCAATATTTAAAGGTCCCCTATTTTACTGTTTTTCATCAATATATTATAGGTCTCAGATATATACAAAACATGTCTCTGAAGTGTTTGGCTCGAAATACCAAACAGATCATGCATTGTAGCATCCCATAATCCCCTCTGTTTCAGCCCTGTTTCAAAAGTGCTGATTCTGGGTCTGTTACTTGAAAAATAAGGGCCACTCCCCACGCCCCTCTGATAGATATTTGGTTAAAAAGAACTCAATGGTGCTTTAGGAGGAGATTCAGGTGATAAGGTGGGGGGGTGTTACCTTGGTGGTTGGTTATTGGCTAATGGTTACACAGAAAATCGTTATGACATCATAAAGTGGCCAAAATCTGATCAGCTCATTTTCAGGTTTTTATATAAATGGATCAGGACAAAAAGTGAGCGAATCTTTTTTCCTGAAACTTTCAGAATCTCTTTACACAGAGGGGACACATATTTATGTATACAAAGTGGAGTTTGCATAATAGGTGACCTTTAAAACTAAAATTGCTTTTATTTCAGATTTCTATCTGACTTTACCATATTACAGTATTATCCAATAACTTGTTGTGTCACTTATTTCCCTGATCATTAAGCCATCCATATAGCAAATCCGACAATGTCTTTTGTTGTCCATTTGTTGTACCTATTGGTCACAGGTGTATCCCACACCATCTGTGCAGCACACATATATGTCACTCTCTTATACTGAGTAAGAACAAGAGGCCAAGCTATTCTTTGTATGAAATAATAAGAAAAATTTTTTTCAAGGAGACATTTCTTCTTTAGAGGCAATCTGACATCTTAGGGTACATTTTGTGCCCGTGGGCTATGATACACAGAGTAAAAGTGTTTGTTTAAATGACTGGAGGCAGACTATGTAACTTTAATCAAGCCTCCCTGGGTTTTGTCCCAGCAGGTTACAAATAGGATGTAAATCTTTCGACTCTTGAATGCATTTTATATAGTTATTGATAGGGATGCTCCGATCGTTATCGGCCGATATTCACTCTGCCGATCGATCGGTGCTCTCTATAAAGGCCCATCAGGAGAGCCCATCACATGACGTAAAATACATGAGACTTTTCTCTGTGCGCGGCAAAACATGCTCGCCAAAATGGCTTAACCGGTCTGGCAGTATTTTAAGGTGTCCGAAAAAGACAATAAAATAGCGGTATGCAACGTGTGTGAAGCAGAAATCCTGCAGCTCCGCAAGCTGTAACGGACCGGCGGTGAGCGGAGCAAAACACACACTAAGAGTTAGACCTAACACACTTAGCTAGTTTATCTACCTCTGGAACAAGCTAAACTAGTTATAAATATATTTATTCTTCACTGGGTCACTCATTACTGGGTCAGTGAGCTGCATGAGACGGATACTGACGGGCTGTCAGGGGAGGGAGAGAGGGAGAGAGAGAGGGAGAGAGGGAGAGAGGAAAGGAGAGCGCTTCTGCTAATTTCTCCCGTGTTATTATCCAAAGTTAATGTAAACTTAACTTGAATAATGTACTTCATTTGAATGTAATAATTATGTTGGTTGTTGTTTGTGGAAGCGCATCATGTATTGAAAAATTAATCTGAACTTTTTGATCCGTTATGATTATAAACTGAAGCGATATAAAAATGAGCCCCATTAACATCACTTTAAATGGAAGATTCCCCATAGCCCCCACCCACCCTATCGGATCGGCGATCGGTATCGGCCGATACTGATTCCGGTGATCGGCGATCGGCCCCAAAAACCCTGATCGGAGCATCCCTAGTTATTGATATGCTATATGTGTCATTGGATTGGTAAGCAGGTGTTAAAGCTTTGAATTTCAGCCTTTAACATAATAAAAGTCCCATTAAGCTCTTTAGAGGCTGTCCAAATTGGGCTTCATCTTCTGGATGTCTGCTTCTAACAAGGTCAATAGGTGTGTTTGTGTTTTATGGGACATTAAGAAGGCTGTTGTGGGCACAGGGAGCTAATTGACGACAACATCCTAATTGTTACTTGGCGGAGTAATAGGGTGGTGGCTTAGTTTGTGTGCTGATACCTCAGACTGTGGATTAGCTGCGAGAAAACAGCCTCACTTAAAATCCATCTTCCCAGGGCCATGTTGTGTTCCTTTGGTAAGCTGAATCAAAGATGTACAGTGTGCATGGTCCACTTGGCTCTGCCTCGGTTAAATAGAAATGTTGTCATCAGAAGACATGTCAAAAGGAATCACACCTTTTGCTTTCTTTTTTTAACTTAAACATTTCTTCCACAAAATAATGTGCCTTGATTCATTGTACACAGTTAACACCTTAGTTGTATCCCTAAGTACATATCAGATGTATAACAAGTGCATAGCAAATATGTCTTACTCTACTTAAGCCATGGTTAGAATTTCAAAGGAACATAATGTTGAAATATGCATACTCTCACACCGGCAGCATCGTATTAATAGAAGAGTTAAGGGTCATACACACTGTTTGTAGTGTGAGCTCTGATATGTGAAATGTGTAAGAGGAAGCGCTCTCCAGCTGGTATTGCTGTAACGGCATACGGAGTAAGATTAGCAAAGTGCCCGAGTACAAAAACACTATGTTGTGAAAAAGAAGAAGAAAAGTCACATAAATTCACAAACAACATGCTTGACAATGTTTTGGTAAACTGTCATCCTGTGAGAATTCAGATTTCACCGGGGATGAACAGAATAGTCAACGAATGTATCATTTACCTTGTCAAGTGTTCATTAGGAAAACATCAACAAATAGCACATATGAGCAATAACCCAGAAAGCAGTGTACCCTCTGCTCATTTTATTATTCCATATGTTATAACCTGATAGCTTTCATATGTCAACATCCATCTTCTTGCACTATAACCGTGAGTGGGTGTAGGGTGGTGCTGTGGTTTAGTGGATGGTTTAAATGCCCTAAGTGTCACTGTTTGTTTATGTGGTTGGCTATCAAACTGGCAGCAATGTGCCTGATCATAAGATTGCAACAAACCTCACTCCCCTTACTTACAGTACTGTTTGTTGATAGACACACATTAACTCGATGCCTAAAATATATATGCATGCTCTTTCAGCCCCTTGTCAACTTGTCAGAGCACCAAGGCCTTTGCAGTAACAGTGAATGTCTTATAGCTGAAAGGTCACAGGGGCAATGGCTTCCACTGCCAATGTGTCCATCAACAGTCTTATGTCTTGTTAGGGTTTCCTCAAGCAAGCTAACCTCCTTGTGTTCAAAGGCCCTCCATCCAACTTTAACTGATCCATCAAGCTCATTTAGATGTGTTAGTAACCGCTGTCACATCCCTCTCTGCTTGTGCTTTGCAATACATGCATTTGAATGTGAAGGCAATGGAACAGCTTTAGTCATTTGAGGTTAGCCAAGGTAAACTGTAGTTCTTCTTAATCTATTTTATCTGCACCTTTTGTTGGGAAGCTTTTATCACATACAAAAAAGGAAAAAAAGAAAACATCTACCAAGGAGAATGTCTTTTGAATAACAGATCACTGGTATCATATCTGCACTTGGCAACACAAGATACTATTAGTATAGTGTCTAAGGATCAGGAGAAATACAGTCATATCAGTGCAGGGCCAGATGTTAGTTGCTGGTGGAGTGTTAATCATGAAATGCCCTAAGATGATAAAACCAAGTTGAGCTGTTATGACAAGAAACTCCAATGATTGGTTAGTCTATAAGCTTTTTTTATTCCCCATCATTTCAAGTTGCTTGTTTCCTGTACCCTATTGTGTCAATTGTAACTGATTGTTCATCCCTCTAAAGAGTGGAATTATTTCCCCATGTATAGTCCAGAGTTAATGGACCTGGAGTGGCTGAGTAACAATTAATGCCATTCACACCGAAGGTTAGCAGAGCTGCCTTGGCTAACACAAACAGTCACTTTACCTCTTCTTCAGACGACACTGTGCTTCTAAATATACATGTGATGAACCATAGTCAGCTGCTTGGCAGGCAGTAATGGTCACTACAGGACCATCATGTTTTTGTAGATGTTTCCTTTCTGAAGTACATTCTGTAATGGGAATCTTACCAGGGGTGTTTTGGGTCATGGCAGCTCCTCACCACTGGCCATATGGCCACAATCAAACCGACGCTAATGTGCCAGCTGTCGGCTTTATAATACGTTTTGCAGTGCCCAGAATTCCTGATGGATGTGACCTAGGGGCTAAGATTTGGCAACGGCTTGACCTCAAAATACCAATTGATGCCCTCCAGTTCACAATTTTAAAATGTTGCTAATTTCAGTCATTTATATTAATGTTTCCACAAAAAACAAATGTTGTTAATTAAAGCTTAGAAATGGCAGTTTGTTTTATAAAACTTGACCAACAGCTTTTTGTATAGCTTCATAACACATTTGCAACATAGAGTCTTGAAACAAATAAACAATAACACAAACATGTTTAAACAGTTGATAACACAAAAATAGATGTTTTCACTGAGATGCTGATTGGACAACACACGGAGAAAATACTTTAAACATAGAGTTCCACAAATATGCTTTGTACTTGTTACTTTTACTGTTAGCAGCTTTTAACAAAGCTTGATGGTGTTATGATTGTGTTATCCAAAGCTGTTACTGTGAAGTCATCAGGCTAATCAGTGGCCCGCCATTACCGAGCTGTGTATCAGACTGAGAGCTGGAAGTATGTGGAAAAACAGATGACTCACTCCAGCTGATCAAGGCCTACCGTCACGTCTCCGACAGGCTCTCAAGGTAGTACAAATTGGTTCATTACATTGCCAGGCACTCTGCAATTTCTCTATTCATGCAAGCGGCATACAAACATACGTGTGCTGTA